GATGTAAACGTGGTGTGTTTTCGAGAGAACAACCCACAAATGTCAAAAAGCTTGTGAGTAGAATCTTTGGAGACAATAAAAGTTAGAAATTTTAATTATTATAAGTGCAATTTGAATCATTGATAGCGACTATGATCGTCGAGTGTCTATGAAACATTGATTTACTTTAAAAACCTTTCTGGAACATATTCTGGAATAATGAAATACAAAGCAAAGTGTTATTACCTGTACCAAAATATAATGCAGTCCGATGCTTTTAAATAACTTTTGAACGAAAGGCGATAGAGACATACGGTTTTCAGATTCTGAAACTAGGCATTTTGGGACGTAAACTTATGAGAAAACCAGAGCTACCGATCAGGTTATCATGGTGTACCATTCGGGGCAAAATTTGAAAGCTTACCATTTCCACATCATACTATGGAATCCAATCTTAAATAATACCATCAATAGCCAAAACATTTCTCTTTAAAGCTACGCAAAGGCCCAGATCTCATCTCTTTTGATTCGGGACGTACAGACGTTTTCTGAAGATACACCTATTTTGTTCCAGACACGCCTGGGAATATCAGAAACATGTGGATCGCAGATAAGCGGCCACACTGATCATCGTGGCGATGTTTGTTAGCGTGCGGAATTGGTCGAAAAAATCGTATGTGAACTTCGTTCCGCGAGGGGTTTTCCAGAAATCTGCTAAAAAACCGCATGCATAAACTGGAAGTTTTCTGTATTTTTTCGACTCGATCTACATTCTATGACCTATTCTAAGAACTTCCTGAAAATTTGAGTCTTTCTGGACGAGAAATGAGCGAAATATACGGTTTTTAATTTTTGACGTAACAGGCGAAAAACCGGGTTTTCATCAAATTGGCTTTTCTAAAGTTGTGGTTGAGTGGGGAATTCTAACAAACATCGCCACGATGATCAGCATGGTCGATTAGTACATGTTCCCAGTCGTGTCTGGAACAAGATAGATATGTCTTCAGAAAACGTCCTTACGTCTCGAATGAAAGGAGATGCAGATCTGCGCCTTTGCGTAGTTTTAAATGAATGAAATGTTTTGGCTACAGATAAACTAGTTAATTTTCTTAAGCTTAAGGAAAAAAGCCGTTAAATTATCACTGTTTTGATGAAATAAATCATTGACGATTTCTTTACATAAAGAAATAGTGCTGGAATAGCGTATACTTTTTGTACTTAGGAACTCAAGAAATAAATTGTTTTCACTTTGATTATCGGCCAATTAAATGACGAAACTTAATCCTACAATGAGAATGGTTAATAAAAAATTCACATGATTTTTTTTGCGTTATGAAAGTTTATTATTTACTAAGTAAAGTTTTGTACATTGTTATATGTATTTTTATTTAATATTTTTAAAAATTTTTAAAACAGAATTCATCTCAGAGAGACAAGCTCAACAACGGTTAACAATGACGCCTACTGAATATTATAAGATATTGTGGACAATTAGATCGGGATAAAATGCTAACTTTTGGCATGAGAAACGCCAAGAAACCTCAGAAGTAAGTTGTCTTTTGTTCAAAATAGCGAATTAAACCTTTAACGGGGGTCCATCCTCCACCCACTCCCCAAATGTACCCTTAACTATGTCAGTTTAAAGAGGGCATCTGATTACATATATCCTTCAGTTATTTTGATGAACTGATAACTATTCACAGAATTATTAACTAGTTAAGTTTAAATTTTAACTAAACTTTCGATTTCGATGGTATTGTAAAATAATTCATTATATTTTATTGGAATGTCCGATCAACGCCGAGATAGAGTTATGTTGTAGACAATCTTTGCTTGTATACAATATGCTTTAAAAGGTTTTCCAACGACATAGGTTTTTTAAGTGAAACATTGTAAAAAGAATGTTTTTTCTACTTTTAAGCACAACAAATAATTTTTGAAAACCTTGTCAGCGATTGCGCAATAACAAAGAATTTCCGAGAAAAATTTTCGCTATCGAAGTTGTAACTGATGTCATTCTGCATGGAATAAGTGGGATGCAATTTGAAGAAAAAATTTTGAACGGAAGTTAAATGAAAATTAAAACATTTTTAATTTTAAAATTTTTTAACTACTGTAATAACTTTTTAAAGTTTTATGATTCGATTCGAACCTGTAGAATTTCATAGGGAACAACTTTTGTTGCAACAGTTTTTATGAGATACGCGTTGTGGAGTCAAAATCCGTGGCAAGGTTTTGGCGTGCGTATCCTTGCAACAAGGGCTTCCGAAACCCCCAGCAATTATTGTCACAATCAATAAGTTTTAATTGTAACATAGTAGCTAGATAGTCCAAAATGAGCTCTACAATTCTGCACAGGACCGACCTCTCTACCTGTTGTGGTTCTCGAATGGCAGGCATTTACCCGACGAAATGATAACGAATTAGGGTGACTCAGGAAAATGAGTGCCATTCAAGAACCACAACAGATAGAGAGATCGACCTTGCGCAGAATTGTGGAGACCACTTTGGACTATATAACCATTATTTTGCAATTAAAAATTCACCGCAGGTTCAGAATCTGGCAACCCCATCGCTTTTCATCAGTCAGGTACACTATCTGGAACGTTGAGATTTTTCGTGAACAATATGTGTGAAGATAGAGTAAAACCTTCTCTACAGAACGCTGAAAACCCGAACTCTCTATTTCTTCTCGTTCTCGCGTTATTCAAAAAACATCCGTGGCGACTCTATACAGAAATTCGCAGTGAAAACCCCGTTTACCTAAAACCGAGTATAAATAACCGCTTAGCGGTAACATTTTGAAAAGCCAAATACACGGATTTGTAGCGCTTGGAAATCTCTCGAATGACGTATTACTTAACCGTTTCTAATAAACTGTTAATTTGCAAATAGAAGTGTAAGCCACCGGAGTGATACTAATTAGTATTCATTACATTGATTAATTATAAATTATTACCGTAAACTAACTTCTTTTAAAATTTTTTTCATCGATTGTTTCCTAGAATGAGAACGAGGATCTTGAATTTTAATTATAATTTAACTCCCCCCCTTTAATTACTTAGATATGCCACGTTTTTTAAATAAGTATGCTTTTCTTTGATTAGTCTACCCCAAACGTTTTCCGTTTTTTGGCCAGGAACGTCACTTTTTTAGAGTCTAAGTAAAAATAGCTTGGATTCATGGAGCTGGAGCTGGTATTTTATTTCGGCGAATTGAGCTCAAAACAATATTTCCTTGTTTACTTGCTTGCTCTTTCTCCGAAAACTTTTACTGAAAATTGCAACTTCTCCACAAACTTTCTAAATTCGCTGCTGCCTTACTGTGAGTCTTATCCCATTCGGGAATGTTCCATGGCCTCAGATTTGCAACACATGCAACACGTTATGTTTTAGTGTGAATGGTATTTTCTAACACCCTAAAGGATTGTTGAACTTCGAAAATCGAAGACTTCTTCGAATTTGGTTTCTAAAAGGTTTTTTTGGCACATTTAGAGTTTTCTGAAATACTCTTTTTTTTAGAATGTACAACAGTTTTTCTGAAAAAGTAAGATCTCATGAAATGATTGTAAAACACTATTTTCCACATGATCGTTTTTCTTCTGTTTTCATTGAAAGAAAGTATGAATAATTCTAAAGAAAATATTCTGATTTTTAACTCAATCTTCTGGAAAATTTTTGAAGTACAAAGATTCAGCTTTCGCATGTTAAACCACGCAAGCATGTCATTCATGTTTATTTGAGGCTTCGAAGTCGTTTGGCTCGTCTCCGCGTCAGTTATGTAGTTTTAAGGATTCTCTGAAAACTTGGAGAAAATTAACAATTTTCGCGACTGGTATAGTGGGCAATTTTGACTAGGCGCATGGACATATGCTGTAGAAGTGGTAGGCAAGTCTGTAAACACACTTTTTATAGGTTTTCAAATATGCTCTTCCCAATGGTGAGATTTTCGAAATCTAAAAATAATTGTTTCTAGGTTTTCGAAAGACCGAATCTCTAGAAAACCCATAGAAAATATTTTTGGATGTCGAAAATCTCATCATTGGCAAGAGCATATTCGAAAACCTATAAAACATGTGTTTATAGACTTTCGTCCCGCTACTAAAACGAACATTCAAATACTCATGCAAAATTTGCTCTTCTATGCTACGATTCAGTTTAATCGGAAACTTTCTGTAGAAAAATGTTTCAAATTATACATCATTTGATGCAATTTTGATGCTGATTCCAAATATCACATTAGTTTTAAATAAAAGTTTTTCTGAGCTGAGAAAAATAGATTTTACCTTAAACATCAAGGGTTTTGGGAAAACCTATAATTTGACAAAGGAGTGTATTCTTTCCTGGTGTGAGTTAATATAAAGATGTAAATTACATGTAAACGCTTTCTAGAAGCTTCCTCACATCATTCCTTTCTGGAACGATTTCTTGAACGATTGAATTTGTGAGGATCTATGCTTTAACCTTTGCACATCTGTTAATTTCCACGAATAGAGACTAGAATTTGGATTTCACTAATGGAATTTTAAATTCTACTGAACTCAATATCCACCGCCAAATATATTGATGTTTTTGAACACCGTTGAACGGTTGCTTTTCATTGCGTAATATAGTTATGACTTTTTTCTTAGGTTTTTCCCTTAAGTTTTTATTTATTAGTTATTTTTATTTATTTTATAAACTCTACAAAAGATCGAACAGAATCTCTACGGTTTTTCATAGTCGTTTTTCTGTAACGAACATGTGAATAGATTTTAACTAAAAAGACGAAGCTTTAGCTACTTCTCATTTGCATTAGACAGCCTTTCTGAGAAAAGTCCACAACAAGGAGAGATACGGATACTTTTTCAAATGCACCAAAAAAACTGACAAAATCAGATATTCTCTGCTTCATTCATGTGTGCTGTGTGATGCATAATTGGTATACAACTTTCGCATGAAACGCTGATCGTAACGTTTCAGTCATCCATCTATTCAGATAAACACAGCTTTACGCAAAATTCAACTAATATAAACATCTATTTACATCAACAGACAATTCGTGAAGGATACTGGACGTAACGGTTGTATGTTTCCTTGATGTTGCTGGTTACGAATTAGATTTTCAATAGCGCATAAAAATTGCGCAAACTCTTCTCTGTACAATGTTTTATTATATTTTTGTTGAAACCGTTGACTAACAACAATATATTCGTCGTTTTCGTTTTTCAGAACCAGTTTTCCATATTTCATTAGAACTTTTCCAGTTCGAAAATTAAGCAACATGATAAGTTCTAATGAAATATTTTCAATTCTAGCCCATTGAACGATATCATCTGCAGACCATAATGCAACAGACGTATTCTCTATCGATTTTTGAGCTAGTTCGACATGCTCTGCAATGTTTGATTCAACATGCACGGAATTTCTTTCAGGCGTTTCGTAGTGTACTGGTTCAGTTTTAGGTTGTGTCTCGACTACAATCATATTAGTCAACTGTTCAATAGTCTCTTCAAACGATTTCTTGCCAAATCTCACATATTGTGGTCCTTCAATTCGTATACCTAACCATCCAGATGCTACGTACTCACTTCCAACATAAATCGGCAGAATTCGTTTTTGTTTTCTGTCAATCGCATACGTCACTTCTCGTCTACACGATTTACTATCAAAATAACTTTGAGTTACTATTAGTAATACAACCGATGCTTGTTCGATACTTAATGCGATTTCTTCCCATAAATCTTCAGACTTGCAGTTCTCATAGTCTATCCACACGTTGAATAATGATTCATATGGTTTTAAAGCATCAACCAAGGTTTTAACAAAGTCAACATCGGAATGTGAATAACTGATCATTACGGATAAATGATGAGGTGCCGGTGCTGCCTAAAATGGCCGTTCATAGTTAATGTACAGGTTTTGATACTTACGTTTCAGATGATCTAACTGTTTCATTTTCGTTCGAGCTGCAGTCTTTAACAAGTTTTTCCCTCAGATACCCTCAACAGCATGTAGTTTTGGAAAAGAAAATCGATTTTCTTTTTCGCTCTTCTATCTCTGGTATTAATTTTAACTTGATCGAACGTGCTCCGCATTTGGCAACAACGTGAAAAAAGAGGGGTGTGTGTGTACGGATACTCTTAATATTAGAGCGCTGTAGAAATAGATTTTGAAAAAGATATGTCCTACTAGGCCTGCAAAAGTTCGGCGTTCCATTTTAGCGTTCTCTCTGAACGTAACGCTAAAGCACACTCGCGTTCCTTGAATGAGAACGCTAGCGTTCCGATGAACATGAACTTTATTTTATAGTAACAATGTTCATCTTGTGTGGAATGAAAATTATTTTGAGGCTAACGTACGCACAAGTTAATTTTATTCTCCGAACGTAAACAGGGTTTCTGTTCGTTTTTATCACATACTACTGTAGGTGCCAGAATACAAGGCACTTGGTTGTCTTTCGAATAACTCAAAAATGACAAATGATAGAAACTTGTGATTTTCAGAAGTCAAAAGAGGACACCTGAAGCTATATTTCTACAAGCTAAAGTCGTTTTCGGACTTATTTGAAAGATCGATTTTTCTGAAGATCTTTGGAAAACCAACCCAAATCTTTACAGATTTGCATAGAAATCTCTTGACTTCTTTTTACAGACAGATAGTCGAAAGTGTCCTCACCAAACTGAAAACTAAGTGAACTTTTAATTTTTGTCGATTCAGGCGTGGCGTCGGATGTCCTGAGAGTCCCAGGATCAATGTTTCTTTAGATGTAGTAATTCCGAAAACGACTGGAAACATAGGTAAGCGACCACGCTGAATCTTATGGCGACATTTGTTTTGCAAATAAGTTCCAGAAAGCTAATGAAAACCCATATTAAGTGAAATGACCGATTTTTGCTTATTCTCGAGTAAAGCTAAAAAATTCATAAACTAGCCAAGATCCATCCAAATTATGCCAGAATATCTAGATCCACTCTACTTTACCTGCTCGATACTACGCAATTCAATAAAGAAGAAGAATAAGAAGAGGACGGCGGACTAATACAAAGGACTATAGTCGGTATAAGAGTGACTAAGTGACGAAGAAATAAAAAGAAATAGCAAAAGCAAAGAAACAACAAATATAACTGTACACATGGTTAGCGGTGACAGAGAAGTCCGCTAACAATACTGTTATTCACAGAATCTTACATTTACTTCAGACAATATGAACACTGTTGGTGTAAATAAAGTTCATGTTCATCGGAACGCCAACGTGCTTTAGTGTTCACGTTCAAGGAACGAAACGTGAACTTTACAGGCCTAGTCCTTACATTATGTTAGAAAAGTAAAGTATCTCCTGAAAGATGTCTTTTGAATATACTATCTCTAGCCAACAACAGTCGGAAATTCCCTCTGCAATGGGTATTTACACACCGAGAAATTCTAAAGTGTTTGTGAGTAGTTTAAAAGATTCTCATGGGAAAGAACCTAAACAAATAATACTTACCACTGCACTTGGTAGCGGCTGAGTAGTTTGGACGATACTATTTTCTTCTTCTCTTACTGATCCATCTTCTAAATTAAACATGATACCTTTCAGTGCTTGTGTAACCGTTGACAAGTATTTTCGTTCAAACTGCACCAACAGTAAATCATCTTTTTCTTCACTCAAATGTTTGATTAAATTGTTCAATATTGATAAAAATTCTTCATCATTTTGTAATTTTGTTTTCCATTCATCATGAAATGATATACTCCATAGAATATTGACTATTGATACACGAGCCAAACGATTTAAATCATTTTTCAAAAAATTCTCATCTAATGATGAGAATTGTAAAAAACAATTTTTAAAAAACTTAAGTTTCTGTTTTCTTTGTAGAACATAGTCAGCAACAGTATCATTAACGAACAATTTCACAAGGACAATCAATGATTCAGATATGTGAAATCCATCCCAATAGTAGTCGTCTGATACAAAAGCATTTTCAGCTATTAACAACAAATGATCAACAACTTGATCAATACTGATAATATCTGTCTTAATCTGAATTGGTTCTAATAGCAATGCTAATGACATATAATAAACAGTCATAAAACGTTTGTTGAACGATTTTGATGATGAATCGATATTATTCAATTTAAAATCTTTAAGAATTTGTACAGCATTATGTTTATTCATTTCATTAATTCCACATTCATGTCTACATAAATTATGTATGAGACTTATGATAATTCGACGATGTTGATACGATACAGCTGGATTTTGAAACCATTTTAAAACGTGTGGAACATAATCACAATTAATAAAAGATGGAATACAAACTGTTTTATCAGATAGATTCCCTATAAGTTTTAGCAATATATGTACAAGTTTCTCTTTTCTAGTTGAATATCTATCAATATAGATAAGAAATGCTTTGAGAACCGACTCATAGTCACTCAATATGTTCCCTTGAAATGGCAATTTTATTGTGGATGGAAGACAAAATAAATCTGTCAACGTTTCCCATAATAACTGACAAATGGCAATTTTATCGGTTGTTAATTCTTCTCCACGAAGATAGTTGAGCATCGAATGACTAAGATAAATATTAAAACAAACTTCAAAACAATGTTGTTTATATGAATTATCGTTGTTTAACTTCTTTTTAATCAAATCATGAATTGTAAATAGCAATTGAGTTAGACATGAAAAATATCTTGAATGCATCGTCGTTGATTTATCGAGTATGTTTATTAAATGTTTTAAACTTATCTCTAAACTATCGAGTTCAAATTCGTCAATATTCAATTGTGTTAATCTTAAACTCTCTAATTCATTTTCTAAATCTAGGTATAATTCATTGATTTCACTGGATGATAATGAGGTAGATTCACTGTTAATTAATTGTACAATAATTTCTTTAATTGTGGATGGAGATGCTATGTAATCTTCCTCTTCTTCTTCTTCTTCTTCATCCATATCAACATAGGAATCAGATGAACTTATTGCTCGATTAGACACTGGTTGTTCCATGAATACTAAAAAATAATTTTAAATGACATAGAAAATTGTTAATAGTCAGATATTTGTACTAATGCACAGCCGACTGTCAAACGTATCCTGGAGCATTCGGTGGTATAGAAATACTCTTATTCTGAAAGGTACTCTTAATACAACGCACTCTCTGATTGTTCTATATTATCAAATCTAGATATTTTAATTACAAGCTAAAATTATACATGTTTAGATGATTATCACTCCCACGGCTTCAAATTAGCGACAAAACTCATGGACATGTCAGCATTGCTAAGGAGCTATGAAAAAACATTTGTTATGGTTATATTCAAGTAGGTCGGTAATTCGTGTAGCATACTCTAGTGAATGTATTTGATTGCTCGATCAGTACTTTGAAAAAATGGCAAAAATGTTTCTAAAATTAAATACTTCTCATAAACTTTGACAAGTATTTCCTCAAGATTGTATTACTTAATTTTCCCACTACGAAGTATTTTGTGAATGCACTTGTAGTTTTACTTGACAAATTCTTGTCAAGTGAAGCACATAAATTCGGTCCCAAATTGCTCACTCTCACACCTGTTCGTCCCTTTGATGTTGTTTGACCTTACAAAGCCAATTTGGGACGAACTGAGAGGACACCCGTAAATTCATCTCTGGATAAGAATTTGCGGCCGTTCGACAGTCAGTTTTCCACACTGTCAGATTTTTCGCTCGAAATTCGACAGTGTCGAAAATTTTCACTCGAAATTTGACATTGTCGAAACACACTGTCGAAAACTGTTTCTGTCGAACAGCGAAATTACCCTGGATAAAAGATAATTAACGGCTTCATTACGCACACAAAGTATTTATCGCATGTACTTGAGCCCAAATACATTCATTAGAGTACAAACCATACATAATTTTGTCTCTATTATAGCTGTATATAGTTACAACATATGATTGTTTAGCGTAGACAATTATGCTTAGAAGTATTGCACATTACACGTCATTGTAGTGATCTAAAATCAGTATTAGATGTTTTATGTTTGTCATAATTTGCTGATGATAAGTGAATAAATGCACATCGAGCACAGCAAAATACGATCACGAATAGTACAAAATTATACAAATCATTAAAGATAAAATAGAAATTAAATTATTATTTCGTGCCAAACTTTTTTCAATGTACAGCAATTGTTTTACCTTGCTTAAAATTACTATTTGTATTTTCAATTTATAATTAAAAATAAATCTGTCCACGCTTATTTCTTTTATTTTCTTTCTCGACGTACAATACAGACAGAACATTAGAACGAACAAAAAAAAGTCTTGTTTCTCTTATTAACAAAATGTGCGTAATGACGGAAAGCGTTTCTGTTTTCTTCACATCAAGGTGAATGAGAAGGTATATTGAAGTAGTTGTTTCAAACAAGAAACATAAAATTGTTAGGCGAAAACATAACCAACAGAACATAACATCCAGCTATGATGCATAAAAACTTTTATAAATTCAATATTTTTCTAGATGTTCACTAGGAAACTCAACTTCAATGGTTAAAACTCATCATTATTTTTGGCTTGTTGCACAATGTTTAATGCATGAACTGAAAAAGGGTCAATTCGACATGATAGAAATACATTTTCAACTACGAATCCTGTCAGCATGTTTGATGCACTTGACCATCGAGTACGTTTCCATGCTACGGATTCAAATAACACATTGTAAATCTAAATTTAGAGAAGTTTTGACTAGGATATCTTGAATTTCTTGACGATTTTACTTTTCATTTTTATTCTGCCCCCTCTCACCCTCCCCGATCTGAACACGATTTCAGCAAACCACGAGGGGGAAATTTGCAGGAAATGCTGGTCACTTAAGATATCAAGACGTTTCATAAAAGTTCCAGAAGGAAAACTAGAAGAAAAAGGTGTCGTTCAGATTGTTTTAGTGGTTTTCTACCAAACGAAATCTTAAATGTGGCTTATCCCATACTCAAATTAAATCATCATTAGTGCAAGATCATCCAAGTACTCCTTTAACAGAAACAAAATTAAGAAGGTTAGTGGATGATTTTGCCTTTATATTATTTTTCTTGTCGGTCTACTCATTAATTGGTAATCATTGCTAATTAATTGCTATATATTCTATTTATATATTTTTTCTTTAATTTAAATGTTCTTTAATTGATTTCGTGATCAAAAGTGTAATTTTTGGTGATCCAAAAAAGACATAGCCAAAAAATAACTCCTTAATTTATTTTTATTGTCAAACTCAGTGAACTCAGCTTAGTCACGAGAATTCCACCAGATGTTGCAGTTCTCTTAAAAACTTTATTTTGGTGTTTTGCAGGACTAACTAACGCTTAGCCGATAAACAAGACCCGGTTTTCTGAAAAATCAGTTTTTCAGAAACTCTAAAAAATAACCAAAACCTTTTCTTAATGAGGCATGATTGTGGCTTGTAAATTTCTGATTAAAATGAGACGCCTCCCAGCTCTGCACGATCTTTCGTTGCAAAGTTATAGAATTTACAAGAAAAGCCCTAACT